AAGAGAGCAGGTTCAAAGAGTAAAAATATGAAGGTTGAAAAGGAGTTGACTCGGGATGAGAAAATTAACATTTTGAACAAACAAAAGGTTCTAAATGGAAGAGTGTTTGACCCTGAGATAATCACTAAGCAAGGAATGTGTAATCTGGCAGACTCTGTGGAAATTCAAGCATGGACTCATCTGTTTATAAATCACATTCCAGAGATACATGAGCCTCAAGTAAGGGATTTCTACTATAATACTGAATTTACCAAAAATGGGAGTCTCAATATGCGAGTAGGTGACAAAATTTTTCACTTGAAAGAGGAAAGGCTGGGAAAGATTCTATGTGTACCCATTGAAGGGATCATGTTAGTGGCTGGACAACTTTGCTCCAAAAGTTTTGTTCAAGAATGTGGTAAACTCCCAAAGCTAAACTATGCTGGAATTCCCAAGAAACTTCTGAAGGGGGAATATCAATTGCTTTTTGAGTTTGTGAACAAAGTTCTTCTTCCTCGATATGAGAAGCAAATTGTTGCTTCTATGGCTAACATGTATCTAATGGAAGCACTGAGCAAGTTTGATCCCATAAAATTTCCAACCATCATGCTAGAACATATGCACAAGACTCTTACAGTGAAAGATAGGAAACATGACATGGGTTATGGCTATTTCTTAACAAAAGTGTTCAATCACATGGAGATTCCTCTTAAAGCAGGTGTAAGAGGAACAATGAAGCAAAATTTCTCCATTAACATCCTAGTTGAGTGTGAGTGTGTGGAAGGAAAAATAGGGCACATGAGTAAAATATTTGAGTTGCTAGTAGAACAGAGTCAATTGAGGCATGAGCTAGAGGAAATGACAACACTGTTTAGCAAGAAAGATGCAGAGATAGCCTTGTTGAAGGTATTGTTGGTAAAGGCTCAAACTGAGAGACCAGGTTCGGCTGAAGTCACCGAACTGAGGGATAAAAATGAAAGCATCATGGCTCAAAATGTTGAATTCAAGGTAAAGTCGATCAAGACCCATGATGATGCAAATGCTCGTCTCACTCTTATCCTACAATCCCTCACCCAAAAGCCTCATCCTTCCTAGTTTCCTATCTGTCTTCCCTTTATCTTTTTTTCAATGGGTATTGTCTCGTTGTTCCCTTAGTAGTTTGTTTATAATGTTTTGAATGCACTCTTTGTATGCAATGTAATTAATTCCCTGTTTTTGTTAATGACCTTTCTTAATTTTCTGCTTATTATTAATGCTTCTGTTGACGAATGGCTATGGTTTTACCATACTTTCTTACTTTTAAACTTGGTTTACTAGATTTACTTTTTTATGATGCCAAAAGGAGGAATATTGGTATGAATAGGATAGATTTTGCCAGTTCACTAGGGATAGTTACCTGATGTTGTTGAAAGGGGGAAGAACTGTGAAGGACAAGAGAAGTCATTTGTGATTAACATTTCAAGCATACGTCATCCAATTTTAGGTGCGAAGGATTGTTAACTAGTATAATACCCAACAATGAGTTGGGGTCGAACTAATAGGGAGTGCTACCTGTTCATATTCAACTATGAAGTACAAAAGTGGTCTAATTAGTTATAGGAATAGAAATTATCGAAAATGACAAGTAAACAAGGCAAAGAGGATGAGACGAATGTCAGATGGGGGGTTTTGGTTTGCAAATTATCAGCCACAACACAATAAAACCAAGAGAAAATATCAATATAGAGAGGAATTCTCAGAATGTGATCGACTATAGACAAATTTCACTTTATGGGTAATTGAAACTATTAATAAATAGCTAAATATCAGTGGGTAGGCTCCCTATGATTGAAATAATTTTCTCTCGAACAACTATCACGGTTAAGTGATTTCTTTCAAACATCAACAAGCTTAGCAGATAAGAACAACCCACAACCTTAATACATCCTCTCTCTCGAGACAAATGGGGAGGATTGGGTTTAGGATTCACTTTTTCGACCTGAACCTATATCAACCCAATACTTACAAACCATTAATCAAAAGCTTTAGTTCCAAAACCTCTCTCTCAAGCAAGCTAAGAACTCAAAATTAAAATTGCATTTGTAATGACAATAAATAGATTAAAACACAGCTAATGATTAAACCCACTTCAATTGAGCATTTAAATCAGTAATTACTAATATCCATAAGCTAATTCAACCCATAATCACATAATCACACCCCAAAAATTAGGGTTTTATCTAAACATCATAAAAATGTAAAAACAATTACCAACTATAGTAGCCATCAACTGGGTATTAGTATCCAACCCTTTAAAATGTTCCAAAAATCATGAAATTCAACAACCTAAATCCAAATTTATGTGAAATCTACTTGAAAGCTTCAAAATTCTACAAGAACAATGCTTTTTAGTTCTGGGTAAAAGTTTCTCAATGTTTTTCTAAATACCTTCTCTCTCTTAAAAATATCAATTTATATTGATTCAAAAGTTGCCTTTTTGGGGTAAATCGGCGGGATAAGTCGGGCTTCGCCGACTGATCGATGATTCATCGATCTCCTTTATCCATCGCCTTTCTATTTCGAGTATTCAGCTAATATGCACTGTAACCTTAGGCGGTCGAAGTTGGGAACGCCGAAGGATTCGGCAACGCTCCATTTGCTCTTTTGGATCGCCAATTTTCTCGCACCTCCATTGAGAATCCTGTAACTTTGAGCGATCAAGGTTGCCTGTTGCCTTCACAGAATCATTCGGCGATTCACCGACTGCTCACTTATGTCTCCAAGTTGGTTCTTTCTCAGGGCTGGCATACTGGAACTTTAGGCGAGTTGAATAGTCACTCGGTGGTTCACCGAGTGGTCTTGGCAATCACCAGGATCGCGTTTTCTCCACTTCTTCAGCTTGTTTTGCTCCTTTTTGTCTGGTATTGTCCTTGCCTTGTTCCTTGACTCATATACCTGAAAACCAATGCTTTAACATCAATTTATAGCACAAATAAGGCATTTGAGGACACTAAAACTATCAAAACAAAGCCCTAAATGAGTCCAAATCTCAAATTCATCAACACCCCCAACTTAAACTTTTGCTTATCCTCAAGTAAAACTCAAGATCAACAGTTCAATAAGGATGTCTCAAATAGTGTTGCATAAGACTCAACATGAATACACACAAAAAGTTTAAACTACACATATAATGCTCAATTGTGCACTCAAAGATTCAAATTGTGACTCACCATTATCAAGGAAACTCAAGTTCACATACTTGCCTCAAATGCAAGTTCAAGCTCAACAAAGGTACTCAAATTCCCTCGCAACAAAGATGACTCTACATTCACACAAAATTCTTCAACAATTTAAAGTCCCAGAATCACATACAACTCTCACACTCAAAAAGACGAACGCATGCATGACTCCACCCATAGGCTTGCCCTTATTTTCCAATTAACATTTGTTTCAGCTCACTAAAGATCACAAAGGTCTTTTCAAGGCTTGTAACGGGCATGAGTGTGAAGGTATGGTCATTTAGGCTTAGTGGCTTCTACCTTCATGAAGTATGGCCTGAAAATCACTCTTTTTCCTTCTCTTTCAAATTCAAACATACTCAAACTCCACCTTATTATTCAACTTCATATGAACCATCGGATACCTAATTTCTTTTGCAATTTTTACTACTTTATTTCATAATTTTTTTCTTTTTCATTCGTTTTCTTTTCTTTTCTTTCATTTCCTTTCTCACTTTTTTTTTACATGGAGGGGTTCCATCTTTTTTAAACGGGGAGTTATTCACACTTCTTGACTTTCCCTCTTTTTCACCACACCCCCAACTTAGGCTTTTGGCCTAAGTTGGCTATTCAAAAAATCCAAAACCTCATGAAGGTTATAGGTGATGGGATAAAGAGGTCAAAGTTGTTCAAGTTTCTTCCAAGAAAAGGATAGGCTCAAAAGGCGCCAAGCAAGGGTCACATATCTCACAAGGTTGGACACAAAGACGTATATTGTCAAATTTGACTCACTCTTCAAACTTCTTGCCTAAGATCATTTCAATTATTCGGTTCACTCAATCAATTGGACTAACGGGGCAAGTTCTTGGTGTCGTCAAATACAATGTTTAAGACGACCTCACCACTCAAGGAATTGGTACCAATATCAAACAAGACTCCACACTTTCTAGCTAGCATGCAATATTCACTTATTTAACGTTTCAAAGATACTTCATCCAATTCTAAGTTTCAACGATCGCTAGTCAGTATAAAACTCAACTAAATAAGTTGGGGTCAAATCCCACAGGGAGCGGTACATGTTTAAGATTCAATAGGAAAGTGCGAATATGATCAAGTCAGTCATAGGAATAGACATTATCGAATAAAAACATAATTCAAATCAGGGGGTGATACAAATGTCAAATAAGGGGGTTTTGGTTGTAATTATCAACTACAACAGTAGCAAATAACACATAAATGACAATAATGAGACGGGTTCTTGGGATGTGATTCGATTATAGGCTAATGTAGACAAATGGGTAATTGCAAATATTAGAAAATAGCCAGATATTAGTGATTAAGCTAGACTATAGAGGAGGTAAACTTTCTCTCGAACAATTTACCCTGAATCATTTCAATTTTTCTCGAACATCGACAAATATGAAAAATAAGAACATCCTATTCCTTAGTCCATTCACTCTCCCGAGCTGAAGGTGTGGAAAAGGGTTTAGGATTCATTCTCTCGAGCTGAACCCATGACAACCCAATACCCATAGACTATCAATCAATAATCTTAGTTTTAAAACCTCTCTCTCGAGCAAGCCAAAAACACAAGGGTAGAACTGCATTTACAACTACATTTCTTAAATTAAATCACAATTAATGATTGAAATCACTTCTAAACAGTATTTAAACTAACAATTAGCAATATCCATAAACTAAAATCAGCCCATAATTACATAATTAAATAATTACACCTCAAGAATTGGGGTTATGGTTTGGCGGGAGGATTTTCTCGATTCTTTAGATCAATATCTAGCTTCAATGGGTTCCCTGAGTATTCACCTAATCCTGATAGACAGCTACCACTTCATCATAACCTTGAACTTCAGTCTCATCATAATTTGTAAGAACAACCTCAAGAAGCTCACTCATGCACATTAGATGGCACACACTAGCCACCGCTTTATCGATTACATCAATCATCGAAACCACATGAATGTCACTCGGATGTTTCATTAACTTCTGCACATTAAAGGTGACCTCATCTTCATTCACCCGAAACTTCAATTCTCCACTTTCAACATCCACTAGTGCTTGCTAAAAATGGTCGTCCCAAATAATGGGAATTTCAGCATTGATCTTACAGTCAAGAATAACGAAATTAGCTGGAAAGATGAATCAATCAAACTTCACCAATATATCATAGAGTATCCCAATGGGGTGCTTGATCGACCGATCTGCCATAAGCATCTTCATAGTTGTGGATTTTGGTTCGCCCAACCCAAGTTGTTTATAGATTGCATAGGGCATTAGATTTATACTTGCACCCCAATCACATAGAGCTTTAGCAAACTGAATCATACCAATGGTGCATGGGATGGTGAATTCTCTCAGATCTTCTTTCTTTGTAATCATCTCACTAGTCATAATGGCACTACAATTATGAGAAACTTCATTGTCTTGAAGTCCATGCTTCTCTTCTTGGTGACTAGCTCCTTCATGAATTGGGCATAACCCGACATCTCCAACAATGCTTCCAATAACGGTAGATTTATAGAGAGTGTTTTGAACACAGATAGAAACTTTTTGAATTTCTTATCCTCATTCTTCTTCTTGAGACGTTGAGGAAATGAGGGAGCTATTTTGGGAAGAGGTTGTACTATCTTTGGAATTGAAGTGGCCTTTTCTTTAGCTTTTTGCAATTCTTCATCGAGGCTTTGCTTATGACTTTCCTCCTTCTCTTTGAGTATATCATTTTCCGATGCTTGAATGAGCTCTTCTTCCTCATCAATGTCTTTCTCTTCTTCACGAGCTCTCACCCCATCATTACTATTCACTTTACCAACCACTATCTTTCCACTTCGAGTCACCACCACCAAAATTTTGTCATCATCAATCCTCAAAGTTGTTCTGCATTCAGTTTCACCCCTATCAAATACGTTAGTTCCAGTTGTGTTCAAAGTTGATTTAATTGACCCTCAAGCTGCATGATTCCATCAGCGTAAGAATTCACTCTATTATTTAGTGATGAGAAGCCAACTTTCATCTCTATTAGCATGTCATTCGAGCCTTCAACCTTGTCTAGGATGCGAGACAACAAATCATCCACTCGTAGGCTACTCGAACTTCCCTTTGATTTTAGGTTGTCACTCGATTGCGTGTGGTCCTCTTTATGATCATCTTCTCATCTCCAATGGTCATTTTGTTCGGCCCATTCTTGATGGTATCGCCTCCGCTCTTCTTCTTTGTGAGAGTTCCAACCTTGATTCCCACCCTGCTTTAAGTAGCTTGGGTGGAAACCCTTCTCAACCTTGTGAGATTTCTAACCTTGATTCCCCGTGGCTTTGAGTAGCATGACTGAGAACCCTCCTTAAATCTAAACACTCCCCTTGCTTCTTTGTGTTCACCCACATTTTTAGCACTTATTTTTGTAGCAGCTCTATTTGGGACAAAAGTTTGCTAATATTCTCATCCATCTCTTTATCCTTGTCAAGTTGTTCTTGCATCATCCTAAAACAAAAAGGTGAAACTTGGCCCTCTTGAGTGTACCATACCTGATTTATCTTTGGTATTTCATCAAGAAGGAACGAGGCTACCTCAAATGATTGCAACATTATTCCTCCTTGAACCAATTGGTCAGCCACTCCTTTATTCACTGAGTTAAGACTTCCATAGAAGTATTGTAGCAGCATGTTGCTTGGAAGTCTGTGAGTTGGGCATTGAAGTATCAACTTCTTAAACCTCAGCCACATCTCGTGGATTGGTTCACCTTCCAAGCGCTTGAAACCTTGGATGTTATCTCTGAGTATCATCATCCTAGACGGGGGAAATAATCTCCATTTAACATCGTGGTAAGCTCATTCCAATAGGTGATGGAATCCCTCGGTAACTCAGCTAACCATTTGCTAGCTTCACCCATCAAAGAGAATGGAAACAACCTGAGACAAACTAATTCTTGTGGTACGTTCTTGAATGAGAACGGGCCTCAAACGTCCACGAAGTTCTGAATATGCTCATGTGGGTCTTCGTGAGCCAATCCTCCATATAGACATTTTATTTGGAGGAGTTGTAGGGTTATGCTAGTAACATGAAAGATATCACTCCCTTCGATTGGAGGTAGATATATTGCATCAAAACCACTCAATTGGATTGGGTCATTCACATCATTACGATTGTCAATATCGTCTTGCTGGCCCACTTGGCATCCATTACTCCCCTTCAATCTCATCTCTTCTTCTGTTCAACACAAACAACACAACCACAAAACAAATTAAGTCGATTCAACTATACCACAAAAATATCACAATTTAACTTCAATAATATAATTTTAAACAACACCACTCCCTGGAAATGACACCATTTTGATTAACGTTTCAAGCACACCTCATCCAACTCTAGGTGCGAAGGATCGTTAACTAGTATAAAACCCAACAATGAGTTGGGGTCAACCCACAGGGAGTGGTACATGTTCAAATTCAACTATGAAGTACAAACGTGGTCTAATTAGTTATAGGAATAGAAATTATCAAAAATGACAAGTAAACAAGTCAAAAGGGATTAGACGAATGTCGGATAGGGGGTTTTGGTTTGCAATTATTAGCCACAACACAATCACAAGAAGAGAAAATAACAATATAGAGAAAAATTCTCGGGATGTGATCGATTATAGGTAAATTTCACTTTATGGGTAATTGAAACTATTAATAAATAGCTAAATATCAGTGGGTACGCTGGACCATGATTGAAATAGTTTTCTCTCGAACAACTATCATGTGTCAAGTGATTTCTTTCGAATATCAACAAGCTTAGAAGATAAGAACAACCCACAACCTTAATACATCCTCTCTCTCGAGCAAGATGGGTAGGATTGGGTTTAGGATTCACTCTTCCGAGTTGAACCCATAAAAACTCAATACCTACAAACCATTAATCAAAAGATTTGGTTCCAAAACTTCTCTCTCAAGCAAGCTAAGAACTCAAAATTAAAATCGCATTTGTAATGATAATTAATCGATTAAAACACAGCTAATGATAAAACCCATTTCAATTAAGCATTTAAGTCAGTAATTACTAATACCCATAAGCTAATTTAGCCCATAATCACACCCCATGAATTGGGGTTTTAGCAAAACATCATAAAATGTAAAAACAATACCAACTAGATTAACCATCAATTGGGTCTTAGTCTCAAACCCTTTACAATGTTCTAAAAATCATGAAATTCAACAACCCAAATCCAAATTTATGTGAAATCTACTTGAAAGCTTCAAAATTCTACAAGAACAATGCTTTTAGTTCTAGGTAAAAGTTTCTCAATGTTTTTCTCAATACATTATATCTCTTCAAAAGATCAATTGTACTGATTCAAAACTTGGCCTTTTGGGGTAAATCAGCAGTGTAAGTCTGGCTTCTCCGACTAATCGGTGATTCACCGATCTTCTCTATCCATCGCCTTCCTATTTTGAGTATTCAACTAATATGCATTGTAACCTTAGGCGGTCGAAGGCGGGAACGCCAAAAGATTTGATTAGTGTTAGTTGATTTAGTGAGTTAATAAAGTCTAAATCAATTAGTGTTAGTTGATTTAGTGGGCGACAGAGTTGTTGCTTTGAAGCTTGTTCGTAACAGAGCTGTTATAGTGAGGGGGAAGGGATTTAGAGTAAAACTCCTAGATTTCAAGAGCTTGTAATTTGAATCTTTGCTCTGTTTGAATGATAATGGAGTTTAGTTGAAATCCTGTGAGACCAGTCGTGGCTTTGATGAGTTTGAGATTTCGACTCATTTAGGGATTTGTTTGATAGTTTAAGTGTCCTCAAATGCCTATTTATGCTCTAAATTGATGATAAAGTGTTCATTTGTAGCTATGAAGGCTAAGGAGTAAGGCAAGGACATTACCGGACAAAAAGGAGCAAACAAGCTAAAGAAGTGAACAAAAGCGATCCTGGTGATCGCCAAGACCACTCGGCGAATCACCGAGTGGCTCTTTAGCTTGCCCAAAGTTCTAGCGTGCCAGCCATGGTGAAGAACCGACTTGGCAATAGAAAAGGGTAGTCGGCGGATCACCGAGCGACTCCGCGATGGCAACCTTGATCGCCTAAAGTCATAGAACCCTGAAGACAAATTTCCAATGCAAACCGGCGATGGATAGGAGCCAATGGCAGATCACCCAGTGGTTTGGCGAGGTGCAACTTAATAGGCCCAATGATCTTTCAGGTCAATAATTGGGCAACTATAAATTGAAATTTTAAATAAACTTCCAGGAGTTCTGATTCCTGAAGTTCGAGATTTTGAGTTTTTGAGTTTCCATTGTAGACTTTGAAGCTTTTGAAGATTGATTTTGAGGATTTGCAAGTGGGTTTTGGATTTTACTCATTTTAGACCAATGTAAAGACTTGGAAGCTTTTACCCATCTCATGGCTAACATAGTTGGTAACTGTTTCTCTCTTTTTATGATCTGTATCTAAAACCCCAATTCTTGGCATGTGATCATGTGTTTATTTATCTAATTAGCTTATGGGTATTGTTGTTTAATGATTAAATTTTTGTTTTAATATGGGTTTGATTGATAGCTGAGTAGTAATTTATGAATTGTAGTTGCATATACAATTTTAGCTTAGTGTTTTAGGCTTCCTCGAGAGAGAGGTTCTAAAACCAAGGTTATCGATTGATGATTGTAGCATGTGGGTCGTTGTGGGTTTATCTCAAGAGAGTGAATCTTGACTTATTCCTACTTATCTATCTCCAAAGAGTCGGTAAATTAAGGTTTTGGACTAGTTTGTAGTGCAAGCTTGTCGAGGTTCGAGAGAACTCGCCTAAACCGTAATAGTTGTTCGAGATAAAACTATTGCACTTATAGCCTAGCCTACCCACAATGATTCAGCAAATTATTGTTTAATTTCAATTACCCATATAGCGTAATTAGTTTATAATCGACATCCTGAGAATTCCTCTTAATCTTGTTGACACCCCTGTTTAAGTGAGTGTTTCAGTTGTTAATTGACAAACCAATCCCCCATCTGACATTTTTTTTCACCCCTTTCAATTTAACCATATGTTTTTGATAATTTATATTCCTACAACCAATTAGATTACATTCATAACATCATAACTGAATTCGAACTTGTACCGCTCCATGTGGGTTTGACCCCAACTCTTCGTTGGGTTTTATACTAGATTATGATCGCCCACACCTAGTATTGGATGATGTGTGGTTGAGCATTTATCAAAAATGGTGCCTCTACTGGGAAGTGGTGTTGTTTAGAATTCTATTACTGAAGTTTGAATTGTAATCTCCTATGTTGTAGTTGATTCAACTTACTTTGTTTTGTGTTTGTGTTGGTGTGTTTGAACAGAGGAAGAAATGAGTGTGAACGGGAGTAATAGTAGCTAAGTTGGCCACCAAGATGATATTGGAAATCTGAATGATG